AAGGCTCTTGTTCTCACGCACTGCCAAGGGCACCCTGGCCTTGGAATACATACTGTGATGCTATGGAGTCGGTTCTGTGGGATCTATGGAGTCTGTTCTATGGGATCTATGGAGTCTGTTCTATGGGATCGATTCTATGGAATCGATTCTATGAGTCTATGGAATCTGTTCTATGGAATCTATGGAATCTGTTCTATGGAATCTGTTCTATGGAATCTGTTCTATGATTCTATGGAATCTGTTCTATGATTCTATGGAATCTATTTTATGGAATCTATTCTATGATTCCATGGAGTCTATTCTATGGAATCTATGGAATCTATTCTATGATCCTATGGAATCTATTCTATGATTTTATGGAATCTATTCTATGATTTTATGGAATCTATTCTATGATTCTATGGAATCTATGGAATCTATTCTATGATTCTATGGAATCTATTATATGGAATCTATTCTTGGCATAGAGGGGGATGAATCCCATCCCTCCACTCACTGATGCATCCCAGGATGCTCTTGGCATAGAGGGGGATGAATCCCATCCCTCCACTCCCTGATGGTGTTGGGTGGGGTGTTTTTGTGGTGTTGGGTGGGGGTGTTTTTGTGGTGTTTTGTGGGGGGTGTTTTTGTGGTGTTGGGTGGGGGTGTTTTTGTGGTGTTGGGTGGGGGTGTTTTTGCATCCTAGGATGCTCTGGGCATAGAGGGGGATGAATCCCATCCCTCCACTCCCTGCATCCCAGGATGCTCTTGGCATAGAGGGGGATGAATCCCATCCCTCCACTCCCTGCATCCCAGGATGCTCTGGGCATAGAGGGGATGAATCCCGTCCCTCCACTTCCTGCATCCCAGGATGCTCTTGGCATAGAGGGGGATGAATCCCATCCCTCCACTCGCTGCATCCCAGGATGCTCTTGGCATAGAGGGGGATGAATCCCATCCCTCCACTCGCTGCATCCCAGGATGCTCTTGGCATAGAGGGGGATGAATCCCATCCCTCCACTCCCTGCATCCCAGGATGCTCTGGGCATAGAGGGGGATGAATCCCATCCCTCCACTCCCTGCATCCCAGGATGCTCTGGGCATAGAGGGGGATGAATCCCATCCCTCCACTCCCTGCATCCCAGGATGCTCTGGGCATAGAGGGGGATGAATCCCATCCCTCCACTCCCTGCATCCCAGGATGCTCTGGGCATAGAGGGGGATGAATCCCATCCCTCCACTCCCTGCATCCCAGGATGCTCTGGGCATAGAGGGGGGTGAATCCCATCCCTCCACTCCATCTTGGCATCCCAGGATGCTCTGGGCATAGAGGGGGATGAATCCCATCCCTCCACTCCCTGCATCCCAGGATGCTCTGGGCATAGAGGGGGATGAATCCCATCCCTCCACTCCCTGCATCCCAGGATGCTCTTGGCATAGAGGGGGATGAATCCCATCCCTCCACTCCCTGCATCCCAGGATGCTCTGGGCATAGAGGGGGATGAATCCCATCCCTCCACTCACTGATGCATCCCAGGATGCTCTGGGCATAGAGGGGGATGAATCCCATCCCTCCACTCCCTGCATCCCAGGATGCTCTTGGCATAGAGGGGGATGAATCCCATCCCTCCACTCCCTGCATCCCAGGATGCTCTTGGTGGGGGGTTTTTTGTGGTGTTGGTGGGGTTTTTTGTGGTGCTCTGGGCATAGAGGGGATGAATCCCGTCCCTCCACTTCCTGCATCCCAGGATGCTCTTGGCATAGAGGGGGATGAATCCCATCCCTCCACTCGCTGCATCCCAGGATGCTCTTGGCATAGAGGGGGATGAATCCCATCCCTCCACTCGCTGCATCCCAGGATGCTCTTGGCATAGAGGGGGATGAATCCCATCCCTCCACTCGCTGCATCCCAGGATGCTCTTGGCATAGAGGGGGATGAATCCCATCCCTCCACTCCCTCTTGGCATCCCAAATCCCCCCCTGCGCATCACCTGCACACACGACGCTGGCATCCTCCACGTGGTTACACGCGTGTTGTCCCCATGGCTTGCCGGGGCATTCGGCGATGGTGCCTTCGGTCCCAAGGCAGCTCACCCCATCCAACCAAATGGGGCCGGATCCTTGCCCGAAGGCGGAGAGCCCCGGGGCCGATAGGGCTGCCCCACAGCCCAGCTGCCTGCACACCACGGCCGCATCCAGCAGGTCCCATCCGTCGTCGCAGACGGTGCCCCATTGGTGGCTATGGAACACTTCCACCCTCCCGGCGCAGCGGTGGGGACCGTTCACCAAGCGCAGGGCTGCCGAGCTCCTTGGGTCCATGTCTATGGGCAGGAGGGACGATGTTGGATGTGCAATGGGACATCCCATAATAAGGGGTTTTGTAAGGGGTCCCTGTGGGTGTTCCCATTGGGATCAAGGCTCTGAGGACCATACCCAATGGGGGATCATGGAATCTGGGACCTGCCCATCCATGGACCCACTTCATCCCATCCCCATCCATGGACCCACTTCATCCCATCCCCATCCATGGACCCACTTCATCCCATCCCCATCCATGGACCCACTTCATCTCATCCCCATCCATGGACCCACTTCATCCCATCCCCATCCATGGACCCACTTCATCTCATCCCCATCCATGGACCCACTTCATCTCATCCCCATCCATGGACCCACTTCATCTCATCCCCATCTCTGGACCCACTTCATCCCATCCCCATCCATGGACCCACTTCATCCCATCCCCATCCATGGACCCACTTCATCCCATCCCCATCCATGGACCCACTTCATCTCATCCCCATCCACGGACCCACTTCATCTCATCCCCATCCACGGACCCACTTCATCTCATCCCCATCCACGGACCACTTCATCCATCCCCATCCATGGACCCACTTATCTCATCCCCATCCATGGACCCACTCATCCATCCCTGGACCCACTTCATCTCATCCCCATCCACCCACTTCATCTCATCCCCATCCATGGACCCACTTCATCCCATCCCCATCCATGGACCCACTTCATCCCATCCCCATCCATGGACCCACTTCATCCCATCCCCATCCATGGACCCACCTCATCCCATCCCCATCCATGGAGATAAGGCATCTTGCAAGGGCCCCACCAGCACCCTGTGGCTGTTCCCATTGGGATCAAGCCCCCGAGGACCATACCCAATAGATGGTGGGATCATGGAATCCTTGAGGAAGGGACCTCAAGGATCACTTGGCCCAACCTTCCCATGCAAAGCACGACCTAGATTGGGTATCCCATCCAAATCCAGCCAAACCCAATGCTGGGCAGTGCCCACATCCCTTGGGATGCCATTGCAATGGCCGGTTGCCATGGAAACGCATCACTCCATGATGGGACTACCCTCATGGGGGCAGAATGGAACATCCCCATTCCACCTCTTCCCTTGGCAACGGGGACCACCTCATTGCACCCCAATGGGGCCGGATGCCGGCACTGACCTACGGCCGCGGAGCACACGACGGCGGCGTGGGCCTGGGAGCTGCAGCCCTCCTCACCCCATAGCTTCACGCGGCATTCCAAGAGGGCTCCCTCCATCCCGGTGCATTCCACAGCATCCACCCACAGGAAGGGCTCTCCCGTGGCTACCGAGGGCGATGCCGGGGCCGCGTGCGCCGTCCCGCAGCCCAGCTGCCCGCACACCACACGGGCTTCGGCCAGGCCCCAGCCCTGCGAGCAGATCCCACCCCAGCGCTGCTCATGGAACACCTGGACCCGTCCGGAGCAGGGATCGGAGCCGTTCACCAAGCGCAGGCTTCCCAGGTCCGAGATGCCCGATCCTAGAGCAGGATCCGTCAGAGCATCCCTTAGGGAGGTGCCTTCCGCCCCATGGAACCCGCAGCGGGGATTGGAGCAAGGCAAGGATGCTCTCTGTGGGTCAGGGATGCTCTTCCGGTGAGTGGTACCCAAGCCTTGGGTGCCCATAGGCACAGACCCATAGATGGGGACCCTTCCTGGAGCAGACACCATGGACAGGATCCCATCACCAAGGTGAGGACATCCTTGGGCCATTTGGGACCCCTGGGGTGCCTCATCCCAAAGGGAAAGGGCTGCTCTCTGGGATCTCATTGCCCAGTTCCAACCAGGATAAGGTTGTAGCATCCCATGATGGGGAGACTGAACTGAACACTGGGTATGGCAGGGACACCAGGATGGGAATGGAATCCATACTGGTGTTAAGAAAACTGGGATGGGAGATGGGATCTCATGGGTTCCTATGGCTGTGAGCAGGAGATAAGGGATGGGAGATGGGATCCCATGGGTTCCTATGGCCCTGAGCAGGAGATAAGGGATGGGAGATGGGATCCCGTGGGTTCCTATGGCTGTGAGCAGGAGATAAGGGATGGGAGATGGGATCCCATGGGTTCCTATGGCTGTGAGCAGGGGATAAGGGATGGGAGATGGGATCCCATGGGTTCCTATGGCTGTGAGCAGGAGATAAGGGATGGGAGATGGGATCCCATGGATTCCTATGGCTGTGAGCAGGAGATAAGGGATGGGAGATGGGATCCCATGGGTTCCTATGGCTGTGAGCAGGAGATAAGGGATGGGAGATGGGATCCCATGGGTTCCTATGGCTGTGAGCAGGAGATAAGGGATGGGAGATGGGATCCCATGGGTTCCACCCAGAGCCCTCCCTTCCCACCAGGCCCATTCCAATGGGTCCCACTTTGGTGGTTCCTTACCGGAGCAGATGACACCGGCGTCCTCCCCATGCTCGCACCCATGGGTGCCCCATCCCTTGGAGCTGCACTCGGCGATGGCCGCCTCGGTGCCGGCGCAGCGCACGGCGTCCAACCAGATGGGCCCCTGGCCCTGGCCGTAGTGAGCGCGGTGCGGGGCCAGCACCGCGGTGCCGCAGCCCAGCTGCCGGCAAACGACCTTGGCGTCCAGGAGGTCCCAGCCATCGTCGCAGACCGTGCCCCATTGGCCACCATGGAGCACCTCGACCCTGCCCGAGCAGCGCCCGGTGCCGTTCACCAGGCGGACGGGGGCGATGGTGGAGACCATGGAGCCTATGGGAGGGGATGGATGCGGTCATCTCATGCCCATGCATGGACCCACCTCATCCCATCCCCATCCATGGACCCACTTCATCCCATTGCCATCCATGGACCCACCTCATCCCATCCCCATCCATGGACCCACTTCATCTCATCCCCATCCATGGACCCACTTCATCCCATCCCCATCCATGGACCCACTTCATCCCATCCCCATCCATGGACCCACTTCATCTCATCCCCATCCATGGACCCACTTCATCCCATCCCCATCCATGGACCCGCTTCATCTCATCCCCATCCATGGACCCACTTCATCTCATCCCCATCCATGGACCCACTTCATCCCATCCCCATCCATGGACCCACTTCATCCCATCCCCATCCATGGACCCACTTCATCTCATCCCCATCCATGGACCCACTTCATCCCATCCCCATCCATGGACCCACTTCATCCCATCCCCATCCATGGACCCACTTCATCCCATCCCCATCCATGGACCCACTTCATCCCATCCCCATCCATGGACCCACTTCATCTCATCCCCATCCATGGACCCACTTCATCCCATCCCCATCCATGGACCCACTTCATCCCATCCCCATCCATGGACCCACTTCATCCCATCCCCATCCATGGACCCACTTCATCCCATCCCCATCCATGGACCCACTTCATCCCATCCCCATCCATGGACCCACTTCATCCCATCCCCATCCATGGACCCACTTCATCCCATCCCCATCCATGGACCCACTTCATCCCATCCCCATCCATGGACCCACCTCATCCCATCCCCATCCATGGACCCACTTCATCCCATCCCCATCCATGGACCCACTTCATCCCATCCCCATCCATGGACCCACTTCATCCCATCCCCATCCATGGACCCACTTCATCCCATCCCCATCCATGGACCCACTTCATCCCATCCCCATCCATGGACCCACTTCATCCCATCCCCATCCATGGACCCACTTCATCCCATCCCCATCCAGGGTTCCCCTGGTACCCCCCATGTCCGATGCTGCGATGCCACCCACCGGAGCACACCACACCGGCTCTCTTCCCATCCTCACAGCCCCCTTGTCCCGCTGGGCATTCCCTGAGGCTCCGCTCCGTTCCCTGGCACCTCACGTTCTCCATCCTCACCGGCAAGGCCCCGGTGCCAAAATCCACCCCCTCGGACGCCGGCAGCGCCGTCCCGCATCCCAGCTCCCGGCACGCGACCTCGGCGTCCCGTTGGTCCCAGCCCCGCTCGCACACGGCTCCCCAGTGCTCCCCATGGAGCACCTCCACTCTGCCGGCGCAGGGATGGGAGGCGTTGGCCAAGCGGATGGGAGCCGGCTCCGGGATGAGGGAATCTGGAGGGTACCCAAGGGAATCCATCAGGAAGTGATGATCCCATTGGAATCCTGCTCCCGGCTCCCACTGAAGCCTCAGGGGATAGGGGGAGAGGAGGGGTGAGCACCCTGCACCAGGGGGTCCCCATTGGTCTGCATCCTCCTGGACCCCTCCATTGCTTTGGAAGAGCAAATTCCCTATGGGAATGAATCCCATGGCCTTAAACCATAGAGGGATGGGATCACAGAGGAAAAGCCCTTTAAGATCATTGAGCCCAACCATTGGGTTGAGCCGTGTTGGATGGGGTTGTCCAAGCCAGGACCCGGCACATTGCCTTGGATTCCATCATTCCCACCCAACCCGGCATCACCTCCCTCGATGGCCTCATCCGGATCATTGCCAAAGAGATTGGCAGCGGAACTGGGACCAGCATGGACACCCCAATGAGGTGGGACACCATTGACCCCAATGCTTTGGGGTCGGTTCCTTATCCAGTGAGGAAGCCATGGATGAGAAGAACCGGATGGATCTATCCAGGCCATCAGGAGCTGGGTTCTCCTTATGGATGGGACCGTTGAGAATGGGACCGTTGAGGATGGGACCATTGAGGATGCGACCATTGAGGATGGGACCACTGAGGATGGGACCATTGAGGATGGGACCACTGAGGATGGGACCACTGAGGATGGGACCATTGAGGATGGGACCATTGAGGATGGGACCATTGAGGGGTTGGGTGGTTGGTGGGTTGGGTGGGTTGGGTGGGTTGGGTGGGTTGGGTGGGTTGGGTGGGTGGTGGGTTGGGATGGGACCATTGAGGATGGGACCATTGAGGATGGGACCATTGAGGATGCGACCATTAAGGATGGGACCACTGAGGATGCTCAAGAACCCCAATGGGTGCAAACCTGCCATCACCCCCCCCTTTCCATCCCTCCACCATGCAAGGAGCGATGCCAATGGTGAAGGCCTCACCGGAGCAAACCACACCAGCATCTTCACCATGGTAGCAGTTACCGGTACCCCAAGGCCGGGCCGGGCAGGAGGACAGGGCGCTCTCGGTACCGGTGCAATTGGTCTCATCCATCCAGATGATGCCGTCCCCGCGGCCAAATTGGGCTCTACCAGGGGCCGAGAGGGCTCGGCCGCAGTCCAGCTGCCGGCACACGACGTCGGCGTCCACCAGGTCCCAGTTGTCGTCGCACACGGTGCCCCATTGCTGGTTGTGGTAGACCTCGACCCTGCCGGCGCAGCGGCTGCCGTAGTTCACCAAGCGGACCTGGTCGCCCTCCCAGTTGCCTGGAGTGAGGTGGGATCATGGAATGGGGTTGGGTTGAGAGGTGGGATCATGGAATGGGATGGGTTGAGAGATGGAATGGGTTGGGTTGAGATATAGAATAATGGAATGGGCTGGGTTGAGATATGGAATGGGTTAGATTGAGAGATGGGATCATGGAATGGGTTGGATTGAGATATGGAATAGGTTGGGTTGAGCTCTTGAATGGGTTGGGTTGAGAGATGGAATGGGTTGGATTGAGATATGGGATGATGGAATGGGTTGAGTTGAGAGTTAGGATCATGGAATGGGTTGGGTTGAGAGATGGAATGGGATGGGTTGAGAGATGGGATCATGGAATAGATGGGGTTGAGAGATGGAATAGATTGGGTTGAGAGATGGGATTATGGAATGGGTTGGGTTGAGATATGGAATGGGTTGGATTGAGAGATGGGATCATGGAATGGGGTGGGTTGAGAGATGGGATCATGGAATGGGTTGGGTTGAGAGGTGGGATCATGGAAGGGGTTGGGTTGAGAGATGCAATGGATTGGGTTGAGATATGGAATGGGTTGGATTGAGATATGGGATGATGGAATGGGATGGGTTGAGATATGGGATGGGTTGGTTGAGTTCTTGAATGGGTTGGGTTGAGATATGTCCCAGGTGGATATTCCCCATCCCACCCTCTGGCATCAGGACCAAGCCCTCCAGGCGGATGCTCCCAACCCCTCAGCACCCAAGCACCCTCCAATGGCAGCCCCCATGGCTCATGGAGGCAGGAGACCAAGGTGATGGCCACCCCCGAGGGGCTTTACCTGAACACACCACAACGGCTTCCCTGCCCTGGGGACAAGAGCCATTGCCCCGGGCCTGCACCTTGCACATGGACAGGGTGCTCTCGGTGCCCACGCAGCTCACGCGGTTGGGCCACGTCGGACCAGTTCCATGGCCGGACCAGGACTGGGCCGGGGCCACCAGCGCCGTCCCGCAGCCCAGCTGCCTGCAGAGCACCCGTGCCTCCGCCAGACCCCACTCCTGGTCGCATAGGGATGCCCAGGAGCTGAGGTGCGGCACCTCCACTCTGCCGTCGCACCGCGTCGAGCCGCTGGCCAAGCGCGGCGCCGTGGCCGCCGACAGCGCCGACCCTGGCAAGGAGGATAAGGAAGGGCCCCAGCATCACCCATGGGTGGGGGGAGAACAGGATGGGGACCGAGAGCCCGCGGTGCTCGGGGTCCTCTTGAAAGGGGGGTTCGAGGGGTGGCTTTGTAAAGGGGCGTTATTGGCATAGGCAGTGTAGGGCAAAGACACGTTATAGAGCCATAGAATGGGATGGGTTGGAAGGGGCCTTTGGAGGTCATCTACAGAACCATAGAATGGGTTGGGATGGGTTGGGTTGAGATGGAAGGGGCCTTTGGAGGTCATCTATAGAACCATAGAATGGGTTGGGATGGGTAGGGTTGGAAGGGGCCTTTGGAGGTGATCTCTAGACCCATAGAATGGGTTGGGTTGGAAGGGACCTTTGGAGATCATCTATAGAACCATAGAATAGATTGGGTTGGGTAGGGTTGAGTTGGAAGGGAGCTTTGGTGGTCATCTCTAGACCCATAGAATGGGTTGGGATGGAAGGGGCCTTTGGAGGTCATCTCTAGACCCATAGAATGGGTTGGGTTGGAAAGGGGCCTTTGGAGGTCATCTATAGAGCCATAGAATGGGTTGGGATGGAAGGGCCTTTGGAGGTCATCTATAGAACCATAGAATGGGTTGGGATGGAAGGGGCCTTTGGAGGTCATCTCTAGACCCATAGAACGGGTTGGGTTGGAAGGGCCTCGAACACTACCAGGGATGGGGCAGCCCCATCTATCCCTGAGCCCCCTGTGCCAGGGCCTCAGCATCCTCCCAGGGAAGAGCTTCCTCCTATGTAGAGTGAATCCACGCTCTCCCAACCCATCCCATTCCACGATCCCATGCCTGCAAAGCCCCATTACCTGAACACACCACACCGGCATCCTCCCCATGGAAGCAGTTGGTGTTGCCCCACGCGCTGGCCCGGCAATCCACCAGCGCGGCCTCGCTACCGGTGCAGTTGACCTCATCCAACCAGATGGGATCGTGGCCCCTTCCAAAGTGAGCCCCGTGGGTGGCGGCCAGCGCCGTGCCGCAGCCGAGCTGCCGGCACACCACGGCCGCGTCCAGCAGATCCCATCCGTCGTCGCACACCGTGCCCCACATGTGCTCGTGCAGCACCTCCACCCTCCCGGCGCAGCGGTCGAGGCCGTTGACCAACTGGAGGGTGCCCAAGGTGGCCACGGTGGAATCTGGTTTTGGGGTGGGGATGGGGAGGAGAAGGTTGGGGAAGGGATGCGCGCCCCATGGGACGGATGCAGGGGTGCAGGCAGGTACCTGAGCACTCGACGCTGGCGTCCTCCACGTGGTTGCAGTTGTGCTCCCCCCATGGCTTCGCTCGGCACCCCCGCAGTGCCGGTTCCTCCCCGGTGCAGTTGACGTCGTCCAACCAGATGGGCCCTTTCCCTTGCCCGTAGCGAGCTCCCGGCGCCACCGACAGCACCGAGCCGCAGCCCAGCTCCCGGCACACGACCTGGCCCTCCTGGAAGCCCCATCCGTCGTCGCACACCGTGCCCCACGTGCCGTTGTGCAGCACCTCCACGCGCCCGGCGCAGCGGCTGGGACCCCCTTCCAAGCGAAGGGACCCCATTGGGGTCCCATTGGATGTGCCTGGAGGGGAGGGATGGGGAGGAAGCAGGAGGTGACAGACAGGGGGTGGATGGGGGGGGTTTGGGGTGGCTTCTGACAGCTGAAAGGGGATGTGAGAGGTGGCGTTGGACAGCGCGGCCCTGCCCTGGGCATCTCAGATGTCCACTGAAGACAGTGGAAGTCAACTGGAGTCAACTCAGGAGTCAACTGAAGTCAATTGAAACCAATTGAAGTCAACTCAGAAGTCAACTTGAAGTCAATTGAAGTCAATTGAAACCAATTGAAGTCAACTGAAGCCAACTCAGAAGGCAACTGAAGTCAATTGAGACCAATTGAAGTCAACTGAAGCCAACTCAGAAGGCAACTGAAGTCAATTGAGACCGATTGAAGCCAATTGAAGCCAAATCAGAAGTCAACTGAAGCCAATTGAAGTCATTTGAAGCCAATTGAAGTCAACTGAAGCCAACTCAGAAGTCAACTGAAGTCAATTGAAGTCAATTGAAACCAATTGAAGCCAATTGAAGTCAACTCAGAAGTCAACTGAAGTCAATTGAAGTCAATTGAAACCAATTAAAGCCAATTGAAGTCACCTCAGAAGTCACCTGAAGTCAATTGAAGCCAATTGAACTCAACTGAAGTCAATTGAAGACAACTGAAGACAACTCAGAAGTCAATTGAAGCCAACTGAAGTCAACTCAGAAGTGAAGTCAATTGAAGCCTATTGAAGTCAACCTAAGTCAACTCCGAAGTCAGCTGAATCCCACCTCTGCATCTAAACCCCATGCGCCCAAAAGGTCACAGACCCATGGAATGGTTTGGGTGGGAAGGGACCTTCAAGCCCACCCAGTTCCAGCCCCCTGCCATAGGGACCCCTTCCACTGGAGCAGGATGCTCCAATCCCCTGTGTCCAACCTGCCCTTGAGCACTACCAGGGATGGGGCAGCCCCAGCTTCTCCCCCAACCCATCCCAGTGTCCCAGCACCCTCACAGGAAGAGCTCTTTCCTCACAGCCCATCTCAATGTCCCCTCTTCCAATTGGAATCTGCTTCCCTCATCCCATCCCTTGTCCAAAGCCCCCTCTCCTGCTTTCCTGCACCCCTTTAGGCACTGGAGCTGCTCTAAGGCCTCCCCTTAAGGAGCCTTTGCTGCCCCATCCCAGCTCTGTGAGCGTCTCCATCCCTCCAGTGCCTGGATCCAGGTGGATCCATCCCATCCCTCCTTGGACATGGATGTGTGCGGAAGGGCTCAATCAGAGCAACGGGCTCCGGGATCACCCCTTGGATTCCAAGAACCCCGTGAGCTTTGGGAAGAGGCCCCAAAGGGAACTGAGCTTCCTGGGTGGACCAGGAAGGAGAAGAGAGAAAAGCCAACGCTGCAATAGCGGCATCGCCATGGGGACGCTGCCCTCGTCAGCAGCCCCAAGGCAGGGCAGGGCTCAGCATGGGGTGGCCTAAGGCAGAACCCTTCATTCTGAGGCGTCCATCCCCAAATCAGGGTGCTCCCGCAGCCCAAAGGGACCCCATGGGTCTTGGGTGCCCACTGGCTCTAAGGGCTCCCCTTAAGGAGCCTTCTTCTGTGGCTCCTTGAGGTTCTTCATGTGCTGGTGCATGCATCCAGCAGCAAAGACAGAGCTTTATAGCACAGTGTATATATATATGCATACATTGGCCCCATGTCCCCATTGACCTCATGTCCCCAAGGTCTTCTCCATATCCCATTGGGTCCCATTGACCTCATGTCCCCAAGGTCTTCTCCATGTCCCATTGGGTCCCATTGACCCCATTGTCCCCATTGACCTCATGCCCCCAAGGTCTTCTCCATATCCCATTGGGTCCCATTGACCCTATTGTCCCCATTGACCTCATGTCCTCAAGGTCTTCTCCATTTCCCATTGGGTCCCATTGACCCCATGTCCCATTGCGTCCCTATTGACCCCATTGTCCCCATGTCCCTCTTGTCCCCAAGGTCTTCTCCATATCCCATTGGGTCCCACTGACCTCATTGTCCCCATTGACCTCATGTCCTCAAGGTCTTCTCCATGTCCCATTGGGTGGCATTGACCACCATGTCCCATTGAGTCCCTATTGACCCCATTGTCCCCATGTCCCCAAGGTCTTCTCCATATCCCATTGGGTCCCATTGACCCCATTTTCCCCACTGACCTCATGTCCCCAAGGTCTTCTCCATATCCCATTGGGTCCCATTGACCCCATTTTTCCCATTGACCCCATGTCCTCAAGGTCTTCTCCATATCCCATTGGGTCCCATTGACCCCATTGTCCCCATTGACCCCATGTCCCCAAGGTCTTCTCCATGGAGAAAGGCCTCTGAAGAGCTCAGAAGTGCCCTTTCAAGGCCCCCCCCCACAAGCAAGACCCCACCCCTGCGGTGACTTGAGGGACCCCAATGGCATTGCCCCACCACTGGTGAATGAGACCCAACTCAGGTGCTCTCCATCCCATCCTGCTCCCTCCAAACCCCATCCAAAGGGGACCGCTCCTCCCCGTCCCCTTTGGGAATGAGAACCAGCTCCAAGGAGGGTGCCCCAGATCCAACATCGGGGCCCACCCTTAACCCCTTCCAAAGGGGCACCCACAGGATGGATCCCCATCCTTCAGCAGACCATGGGGTAGGGACCTCTTTGGGAGCACGGGGACCATGGAAGCACGGAACCATGGATTGGTTTGGATTGAGGAGGTCCAGGAGGACCCACATTTGCTTTCCCTCCCTTCCTACTACCTCTGCTTATGGGGCAAAGGGAACGCTCCTGCCCTCACCTAAACCCCTTGGAAGCCACCTCCAAACCCACCCCTCCTTCCCCAGCCCCACAGACCCTTCTGCTGCGCCCCATAGAGCACACCCGCCCCATAGAGCCCAACCAGAGGTCAGAAGCGAAGGGGAGCAGCACTCACCCCATAGCCACGCCAGCAGCAGCAGAACCCCGATGCTCTTGGCCCCACCAGGACCGCGTGCGGCCCCGCTCCGGCCCCGGGGATGGATCCGTGCCGGCGTGGCCATGGCCGCAGGCTGGAGGTGGGCAATGGGGTGGATGCCAATGGGAGGGCCGAGCGGGATCCCTCCCGTTCCTCTGCCTTGGACCCAGCTGGGGCTTTCACTTCCCCATGGAGCGATGCCAGGGGGTGGGGTGGGGGGTGCCCCATAGAGCCCTGCTTTGCGCAATGTGTTCCAGGAAAGCACGGAGCAAACAAAGCCTTTGGGACACACGGATCCCATGGCAGCCCCAAAGACCTTGGACCCCCTTTAGGCAGGGAGCCCATAGGGCAATGGAAGGGGTTGGGTTGGGAAGGGGCCTTCAAGCTCATCCCCTTCTCCATGGGGATCCCATCCAAGCCCTTGGGATGGGGGGGGTCCAGACCTTCTCCATCCACCCCATGCCCATGCTCATCCCACCATCACCCATTGAAACCATTACCCACATCCACTGA